GTTGTCCCTTCCATCCATCTTTTCTTGTCACTGCCATCCATTGTTGTCTCTTCCATCCATCATTTCTTGTCCATGCCATCCATTGTTGCCTCTTCCATCCATCATTTCTTGTCCCTGCCATCCATTGTTGTCTCTTACATCCATCCTTTCTTGTCCCTGCCATCCATTGTTGTGTCTTCCATCCATCCTTTCTTGTCCCTGCCATCCATTGTTGTCTCTTCCATCCATCCTTTCTTGTCCCTGCCATCCATTGTTGTGTCTTCCATCCATCATTTCTTGTGCCTGCCATCCATTGTTGTCTCTTCCATCCATCCTTTCTTGTCCCTGCCATCCATTGTTGTGTCTTCCATCCATCATTTCTTGTGCCTGCCATCCATTGTTGTCTCTTCCATCCATCCTTTCTTGTCCCTTCCATCCATCTTTTCTTGTCACTGCCATCCATTGTTGTCTCTTCCATCCATCATTTCTTGTCCATGCCATCCATTGTTGCCTCTTCCATCCATCCTTTCTTGTCCCTGCCATCCATTGTTGTCTCTTACATCCATCATTTCTTGTCCCTGACATCCATTGTTGTGTCTTCCATCCATCCTTTCTTGTCCCTGCCATCCATTGTTGTCTCTTCCATCCATCCTTTCTTGTCCCTGCCATCCATTGTTGTGTCTTCCATCCATCCTTTCTTGTCCCTTCCATCCATTGTTGTCCCTCCCATCCATCCTTTCTTCTCACTGCCATCCATTGTTGCCTCTTCCATCCATATCCATTGTTGCCTCTTCCATCTGTCCTTTCTTGTCCCTGCCATCCATTGCTGTCCCTTCCATCCATCCTTTCTTGTCCCTGCCATCCATTGTTGTGTCTTCCATCCATCCTTTCTTGTCCCTTCCATCCATTGTTGTCCCTTCCATCCATCTTTTCTTGTCCCTGCCATCCATTGTTGTCTCTTCCATCCATCATTTCTTGTCCATGCCATCCATTGTTGCCTCTTCCATCCATCCTTTCTTGTCCCTGCCATCCATTGTTGTCTCTTACATCCATCATTTCTTGTCCCTGACATCCATTGTTGTGTCTTCCATCCATCCTTTCTTGTCCCTGCCATCCATCTTTTCTTGTCCCTGCCATCCATTGATGTCTCTTCCATTCATCCTTTCTTGTCCCTGCCATCCATTTTTATGTCTTTCATCCATCCTTTCTTGTCCCTGCCATCCATTGTTGCCTCTTCATTGTTGCAGACTTCCTGGCCTCTGAGCAGGTCTAGATAAATCCCTCTTATCACAAAGCAGTCAACCAATTCACCTGTTGTGTTGATCACCTAACCATCTTCTGTACCCAGTGATCATTCAGTTTCCACTCATGTGCACCTGTTAATCCTCCCATCTTATCATTACTCAACCATTCATCAAGTGAGGGAATTCAGGATCCACCCACCCATTCATCCTTAGAGTGGGTCAAGGTCACTGGGAGTGTCATCAATGTAAATTTTTTATACCTTTCTTATTATCCTGACCCCAACTAAAATAAAGTTTTGCAGGGAATATAAAAACAGGCTCCTTATGTCCATCCGTCCATCATGTTTCATTCCCAGAGCATAACTCATAAACCATTCAACAATACTTATGAAACATTGTATGCACATCAGGCATGTATTAAACTGGTGCCTTTTGCTATTCAGGAATATATTTTTAATTTTTATAGTTTGCATTTCCAAGGTAACAAGTTTGGCCTTAGTTTCAAATGAGGGTAGGGATTGTTTCTGGAGCAAAACTGTTTCTTATATGTTTGTGAAACTTTGAAAACATATCAGGCAAGTTTACAGCATTATTCATAAACCGTTCAATATTTCTTTTTTTGAAAATGTCGGACAGGCACTAAACTGGTGCCTTTTGATATTGAATTTTTTTCAGATTTTTTTTAGTTTTGTCACTAGCCACCCAACAATCTACCATCCAGAAGTCAACAATCCACCCATTATGATCTGGCAGTTTCTGTGCCACCCATTCCAGACCATGACATCATTAGTTATTCATCTCTGCAATCTATACTCTTCATCATGTCTCTGTGCACACGGAACATCTTATTCAAGAGCAGAAACAATGTATGACAATAACTTTCTGTTTCTGAAAGTTGAGTGTTGAAATATTGATGTGTATGATCTATACAGTTGTAGATCCACTTCACCCTGATTGTGATTGACAGCACACTAATCACTTCAGCGCCCTCCACTGATAACAAAATTATCAGCCATTTAATATTTATAGTCTTACGTCTCTTGTCTTTGGCAGGTCACACAATTGTTTTGATTAGTTTTTGGGAGAGAGTTGGTTTTGTAGTATACTTGCTAACTATTGTTACATCAAATTAACTTCATAAAGAATTCCTTTGAGGTGTGTCGTTTCTCCGTTTTTGGTTAGGGCTTTTGGTAACCTGAAGAGATATATGGCATGACAGAGTGACATGTAGCTTGTCTTTGTACACAGTAATTATGTCATTGATTCAAGAAATTGAAGAAAGGTGTTTTTGACAAACTCTTACTGAAAACAATATTTCGATTTAATTGTAATACTTTTAAGGCAGTCAAGCAACAGGGATTTAGGAAAAATGTATTGATTTCATTTCAAGTACAGTTTATTATTTCCAGACAGTGCTATGTTTTATCATTTCTAAAAAATGATGTTAATATGGAACAATTGGCTTTCACTTTCAGAACAGTCTATTCTTAAACCAAATAGTAAAGAAATGCATTGTAAGTTTGTGAACATCTATTTTCTTATCAATATTTGCATCCAAAAGCATCAAATAGAGCTGCACTTCAAGTGTTTGGTGTGCTGTTTGGGTTCTTATTTCCAGTTAAATACATCACATCGACATCCATTCTCAAACAGAGCACGGCCTGTGTGGGCAGTGTTTGTGGGATTTATTAAATAATGCTCCTCATCGATTGCAGGACTGTTGGCTATTTATTCGGCATTTCCGATGTTTGATATCAATACACAAGGAGGTTTTGCTGGCAATGAAGCAGCACGTGTGGTGGGGACAAGATTGTCTTTGGTTGTGATAAGTATAATGAGAGTATGATCAAGTCTGATCATTGTGGTAAGAGAAACAGATTCGCTATAATTAATCTGGCAGATTTAGGTGGTCTTTTGTGGTCCCCGCAGCTTGCAAGAGTTTGGTCAGACTGCATTTGTCACTTGATAGGAGACAGATCTACAACCAAAGCCAACAGTCTGTAGTCTGTCTGAATTTGATCAATATAAAAAAATATAAAAAATTAGGAAGCTTCCAAAACATTATCAAGTAAAAAATCCTATCAGTGATATTGCTGGTGTATTTTTTAGTGATTTGTAGAAATGTCAGAAAAAGGGATGGAGTCAAATTGATGTTTTTTAACTCACCTTGGTTATAAGGTGAAGAATGTACATCATCTGTCGTTGTCTGTCATCATTGTGTTTAACCTTGTTCTCCTCTAAAACTGCTGGACTGATGAAGATGATACTTAATGTTCAGGTTCCCACCGGGGATCTGTTCAGTTGGTTCTGATTCATGTGATTCTTTTTTGTTGTATAAAAATCCCGAATCAAATTACATTAAAAGTTACAACATATTCTCACCAAGATCTGTTCGAATGGCTCATGGTAATTTTGACAAATCAAATGTAGATAAGTTAAAAAAGATTTTTTCATCAACTTAAGGCTCATAAAGATGATACTAAGTTTTTTCTACGACTGTTGCTTGCATTTAATAAAGATATTTGTCAGCATAAATGTCAAAAGTTATGAAAGTCATGAAAATAATATAGTTTTAGTTTTTTTGGTAAAAACTGAAGAAAAGAAAAAAATCAAATTTGATAAATATATAGAGGTTATCATGTGAGTGTGTTTGGGGATGGTAAATATCATGCATTAGGAATAAACATTGTATTTAGCGAGCCTTGTAAAATGAAACAAAATCCTTGGAGTGGTCATAAACATTTTCATAACATGATGGAAGATGGATGTTTTACACCACTTGTGCCGACTTTGCTGTCCAATAAATGCCTCATGACTTACTTTCCTATGAATGGCAAACTGTCCGTAACAGTGCAGCTGACAAATAATGAGTGAGTGAGTGAGTGAGTGAGACTGGTTTTACGCCGCTTTTAGCAATATTCCAGCAATATCACGGCGGGGGACACCAGAAATGGGCTTCACACATTGTACCCATGTCGGGAATCGAACCCGGGTCTTCGGCGTGATGAGCGAACGCTTTAACCACTAGGCTACCCGACCGCCCCGACAAATAATGAAGGTCATTTGAGCCAGTCCTCGTTTGTAAATTTTGGAGTCTTCATATGTTTTAATAACAAAGTGTCTTTATTGTTGGTTGTTCTGAAGATTTTTAGTTTAAAAACCACACACTTTCTAGACTCCTAGAAGTTTAGTAAAATGAAACAGATATAGAATGTAAATTACATGTGTCTGTGGTGTTTTGATGCTGTACCAGATGTTGTGTTCAATACATGTACAAGCAAGAAAAGAGCAGCACAGCACAACTGATCATCAAATAATTGAAAATGTCCAATCATCTTTGAACACTGCATAATCATGCATTCATTTATGAAAAGTGCATATTTGAACATTGCATTGACATTTTTATTGATAAATCACATAGATAAGTGTGGGGTACAAAAGTTTGAGAGGAAGGGGGAAGGGTTGTGTTTAATACGAGAATAGACATCAATATTTCCTTATATTCTTCGCAGTTATCATTGAGCACTTCATAACCAATCATCAATGAGCACTTCATAACCAATCATCATTGAGCAGAGCATTAACAGTCAACCTTGAATAGTGCTTTAGCAGTCATCTTTCCATTCTAGGTAACCAATCATCAATAAACAGTTGTTAACCATTCACCCTGAGCTAGTCTGCCTGTTTCTGCCAAATGTTTCTGTGATGCATCAGTACATTGTACATTACATGATGCTAAATCATATAATTTGAATAACCATTAATTGTATTTTTCAGCACAATTGGAGAAGAAATATGAGGGTATGTACACAGACTGCCTTGTCTTTCTGTTCTCTCAACCTCAAACTCCCTCTCTATGTCACCCTGTCTACCCTTTCTTTGAAATGGAATCTTCTGCATGAGCAAATGAATTTCCCTGCTTTGATGAAGTGTGCCTTTTTCCCTTGCATGTCAGAAACTTGGGCTTTCATGTCAACAGATATTGTTAAATAAAAAGCACATTTAAGCGTATTAAGCGTGGAGCCTGTTAGACATTTGAGAGTGCGATTGTTGATCAAATAATCAGACAGGGTAAATGAAATCTCGGGCCATGGAGTCACATGATAAGCATTGAGAGACAAAACCTTCGTCTTCCCACTGTGGTATAATAGACTTGCAGCAAAGTGTATTAAGGAAGGCCATTGATGGATGGGAACCTATTATAGAGGTTTAAAGAGAATGTCTATCACACAATCACACTAGTTAATATTGTAACCACAGCAGTAGGCTTGGAGGGCTCCACCGTAGCCATGTGGGCTAACAATGATTAATCAGGGGATTTCTCCCAATGTAGTTTCATTGTCCATTTGTAATGAAGAGAGGTCATCAAATACTGTTACAAACCAATACAGATACAAACAGTTCATCCAGACTAAAAATTATTTCATGCTTCTGCAATCACCTGACAATTTGTTTTTGATTTTAAAAAAATTCTTGAATATTTTATTTGGATGGAGAATAGCTGAAAAGACTTTCGAGAGAGAATGTTTGTGATAGATAGATAGATAGATAGGATGTTTTATAGGTTTATCTTAAACAACATTCAAGATTTAATTCTTTCTTGATCTTGAATAGTATTTTTTGACAACTTTTTAATTTACAATATTGCAAAAAGATAAGGCAAGAAATATTATTTCCTCACTTCTTGGACTTAATTATGGAGAGGTAAATTCAGTGCCAGTTATTGTTAGGTGATCAGATTGAATTCAAGCAGTTAAGACGTGTACATTATGCACAAATAGTAAGTGTTGCCTGACATGCCTAAAGCATGTAATAATGGCATATTAATGGTAATCTGCCCAATCACGACCCTGTTGTATTTTTTCTGTTTCATGCTGTTCTTCCCCTGGTGGTCACCATTGCTTTAAAATACTTGCCAATTACTAGTGATGTTTTGTAGTGTAACATTGTAGCATCAATGTCTGTGCCCTGCTCACCACTCCACACAGCAGTATTAATGTTCAACACCAGGGAGGTGGGCCTGTGATGTCATGTCGCCTTCACATGGATTTATTATTATTACTCTTTCAGGGAACAAAGGCAGCCATTGGTTATGCTGTGGCTTGAGAAAACAACGCAGTGTTAATAGTATTGTCTGTATGTTGTTATCCAGTAGCATTAGAAAACACAGAGCATCAGTACCAATTTGTGTGTTGTTAGCCAGTGGAGGTTTATAACAGAGCATTTATACCAGTACATGTGTGTTGTTAATGTGGCAATTTAAAACAACAGAGCATTAATACCATAGGTTGTTAGCCAGTGGCTGTTTAGAACAACAGAACATTAATACGACTGGTTATTAATACGACTGGTTAATGGAAAGTTCAGATATTCCTGGATGTAACATCAGCTGTTAACTCAAAGTTTGCAATCATAGATGTCTCTGATCACTTAGAGGTCATCTGTATTTGTGGAAAGTAAGAATGGGTTCCAAGATTTTCCTTTCAGATTGTTGATGACATGAGACCGTTGAAGCATCTCCTAGCTGGGTCCCATGAGCTTCAGGGCACAGCTCAATGAACCTATGATCTCTGTCATTCTTATACCGTAAATCCTTGAATATACGCCTGCCTTGAATAAATGTCAGGTTCAAGACCCTCTGCCTTGAATAATTGCAGGCCTTGCATAAAACCTGGGTTGTATTTTAGTCTGACATTTTGAAGAGTCAATATTCCATGAATCCTGCCAATTAATGTCTGTAAGGATCCATACTGTATACCATATCATTTCATGTAAAAAAGTCCTTCTGAAAATAATGCCTGCCTTGAATAAATGCCAGATCTTGGGTCCTTCCGAAATAAATAAAGACTGTGTGTCTATTCAAGGATTTACGGTATATTGAAACTATGCAAACAGATCACACTAGAATACAGATATTGCATTCCAATACATTATGTGATTTGAAGTCCATCCCAACACTTCATCTGCATTTTTGTATTGACATGAATATTACTTCATGTAACTTAGGCCTTTACAACTTGCCCTGAGAACTTTGTGTATTTTAGTGGGAATTAGTTGGGATGAGACCTGGCTTAGGAGGAGGTTACGTCTTCATCAGATATGAGTTTCTTTGTAATTTCTATGTGTGTCAGGTAACATGATGGAGACAATGAATATTTCATGTGGTAATGTTCACCAGACAGTGCCACTTCCACCATCAGGAGCTTTGAGTGTGTGGATATGGCATGTGTATGTATTGCACATGTATAGAGCTAGACACCTCTATTAGGCAAAGAGGGTTGATCAACTCTTATTGCCCTGTTTGGGTTGTTGGGACCATATGTTCACAGTCTGGCAGTCAGGTCAAGAGATTATCATCAAATAGATCGTGATCGTACACATATCACAGTTCCTCTCAACAGGTTCATTCCAAACTTCAATTATCCCGTCATGCGAATATTCCCAATTTTGGTGAATTTTCTTGTGTACTGAATTTTATGGAAGGACCCTTGATACAATGAACTGAGCTTGGGGTGCAATGCTCCAAGCACTGAGAGCTTCCCCTGTCAATATACTCCACTTCTTTCTGGTCCTCTTAGCGCGGCGTTGTCGCGTTGCACACAGAATTACGCAGCCCCTCGGAAAGAAGAAACAAGTCTGGAGTGATGACCGTCCTCATAACATGTGCTGGTGGCATTGAATCAATGCAAGCAAATATCAGTCCTTGTAATTGAGCTAATCTCGGGAACGCAAATGTCCCCCTTTCGACAGGACAAAAAGTTGAGTGTGTAACCTCCGTTATTGTCTTGTCGTTGACAGCTAATTCTGACTCTGGTGCCGCTTGTTACCCGATTTGTTGGTTCTGTAGGCTAATCTTGCCTTCATCAAGCCAGCCTTCTGGTCTGCCTCCAAGATGGCTAATTCTGGTCCATTCCTTCAAAGGCATGCTATCTACTGAAGCTAATTTGTCACGAGTTATACAAAATATTTTTGATAACCATAGCAACAAAATAATTTGAGTTATTTCATCTATGCATGTCTGACTTGAACAAAGGATTTAATTTGATTCCTATTGTCCCTAGACGCACTCGCACTCTTTGGAATTCCCGCGAGCCAGACAATGATCACATGATTTTACACTTTCAGCTGTGTTCTACACACAGATAGTGGCTTATCAAACATGCGCTCTTAAAGCGTAAACTCGTTTCAGTATCAGCTGTCATCTCTCATTCTGTTGACATTGAAATTTGTGATCTTCAGTGTCTGCTTCATCAATTGCTTTTATACACGGAACAATTTAACTTCAATTGACCTTTAAAAAATCTTGATAAAATGTTATTGAACATTAGAAATTAAAACATCAAATGAAAATTTTATTTTCTTCCTTCAAATACTCAAGAATTATGACTCATGTTTGTTTGAAATGCCAGCATGCATTTTAATCAAATTTTAAGAGATTGTTTACAATCTGCTGACAGCTTTATAACACTTTCATGCACTTCTTCAAATGTTCAACTGAACAATTACAAATGTGAAAACTGATTCTTTTTACCACCAGAATGATAGTGTTTGTTTCCATTTATGCTGCATTGTTCTTTTGTGTTTTATCACACATTTTTAAGGTTAAAAATTAAGCATCATAATTCCACAGTTTGAAGAAATATTAAATATTCCTTTTGATTATACTTGACAAACCATGTCTTATTTTCCTTACTCTTTATGGACACCTGGTGTCATCACTGATTTTCAGAGTGTGAGGGAGTGAGTTGGGTTTAACGCCGCTTTGAACAGTATTCCAGTTATATCACGGCATGTCAGCTTAATGTGGGAGGAAAGCCCGAGATGATGCAGGTCTCAGACGTTTACCACCATGTATGGTGCTGACAAACCTATAAACATTATCTGGACGAACTGGGATTCGAACCCACAATCATAGGTTTCTGGCGTGCCCAAGGGACACAACTCTGCATAGTGAATCACGGCCCCTTAGACGACAGGGCCACATGGCCCCCTGATTTTGATTTTCAGAGTATCATTTATATAATTTTCACTGCTATTTTGCCTTTAACCCCTCATGGAAATTGTTTTGGCAGCTGGGGTGGTCAGGTAGCCTAGTGGTTAAAGCGTTCGCTCGTCACACCGAAGACCCGGGTTCGATTCCCAACATGGGTACAATGTGTGAAGCCCATTTCTGGTGTCCCCCGCCGTGATATTGCTGGAATATTGCTAAAAGCGGCGTAAAACCATACTCACTCACTCACTGTTTCGGCAGCTAGTTGAGACGAAGTTTCAGACCAATTACATTTCTTTTTTACAGTTTTTCAGTCCATAATACTAAACAAAAACATTTTGTGTTGCTAGTTTTGAGACAATGGGAATTATTTACTGAATATTATTCTGTTCATTCAAGTAAAAGAAGGTAAAATTATCCTGCTCATGGATTACTTTAAGTAACGTGCATTTTGGATTTTTCCAAAATGGAAAAGTAAATTATTAACAGTATGGATTGTTTTCATTTTATTACATCAAACAAAGCTTATAATCAATAGTGTATCACCATCGTTGTCAGCTGTTGCCATATTAACGCATCACTGATGTATTGTTATCATGCCATTGATTAATCTCTTTGATGATTATCGGTAATTGTAAACTTAAAGTGTCACTTTTTAAAAAAATTTATTCACTGCAGAATTTTAGACATGCTATTTTGGTGTGCCATACTTGAATTGATATTCTTGCTTTGGGAAAGAAATCCACGCTAATTGTAAAATACATACCAGGGTAGCTCTCTCTACAAAGCTGTCGTGATTTTTTGTAAAAGG